GCCCCATGGCGAAAAGAGAGTCGGAAGATCGCGATGGTTTGATGCGGTTGGTGATCCCTGAGACGTTGCAGCAGGATTTTTTGCATCATTATCACACGAGTCTGGAAGGAGGCCATCAGGGTATTGGCCGAACCTATCAGAGGATCAGATCACGATTTCATTGGAGAGGACTGTATCGGAGCGTTCAACGATATGCGGGCGAATGTACCGACTGTGAGACCGGGAAAGGAAACCCGATGATTAATAGGAAATCCCCGGGCAATCTACACGCAACCTATCCATTCCAGATCATCGCCATGGATCATATACCGTCGTTGCCCAAGTCCATCAAGGGGAACACCGAACTGCTCATTTGGGTCGACCTTTTCTCGGGATATGTGGTTGCAAAGGCTAGCTCCTCTCGGACGGCACAAACAATAGCGGAGAATTACGAAGAATGTGTGTTTCGACGCTTCGGAGCTAGCGAGGCTATCAGGCACGATCGAGAACCGGGATTTATGTCCGACTTCTTTCGAGCCTTCAGTCGGATCGTAGGACAAAAACAGCGTGCTACTATGGCTTACAGGCCACAAGCAAATGGAACAGCCGAACGAATGGTGCAAACCCTGACACATTCGCTCAAGATGTACGTGGCTGAAGTTGACCAGCGAGACTGGGATGAGTATGCTGAGCGGCTCACATTTGCCATTAACACTGCACAAGATCGGATCCGGGGGATACCCCATTTTATCTGATTCATGGGTGGGACCCGCGATCGACTTTGGAGGCTACGCTACCAGTGGGGAATACGGGGACACGAGATCGCGATCCAAAGAGGTGGAGATACAAAATCCAAAGACAATACCAGCGAGCCCGATCTGCAGTGAACGATCGTTTACAAGCCGCGATCCAGGAGCGAGCGGATCGACACAACGAAGATCTGGAACCACACGAGATCGAAGTAGGAGCGCAAGTTTGGCTATACCTGGACCGAGTTAAAGAGGGATATGCGAAGAAGCTAGCGCACATGTGGCATGGGCCATTCCGAGTTGCGGACGTATGTGGAGATCATGCTGTAAAATTGGAGATCGCTGGAACCCCATATCGGTTATTTCCGATTGTACACATATCGAAGCTAAAAAAGGTAAAGACGTTCCCTGAACGCCCGAAGGATCAGCTTACGATAGAGGAATCAGATCGCTTGGATTTCGATGAAGCTCTGCTGCCGGAAGACAGTTGGGATGGCGATTTTGAAGAAGGGGAATACGAAGTAGAGGCAATATTGGACGTGCGATCTGGTAGAAAAACCCGTTATGGGCGAGTACACCGGCAGTTTCTGGTGAAGTGGAAGGGATATCCCGATCTAAGTTGGGTGGACGAGGCCGATCTAAGTTGTGGGGCGATCTTGCAAGAGTTTGAGCGGAACCGAGTGAGTCGAAACCGTTTCGACGTAATGCAGTCTCATGAAGGCAAGTCGGACGAACCTTAACAGTTCGAACAAGTATGCGGGAGGTAGCATATGCGGATGTAGGGGTTGAAAGATGTGCTAGACGGTAGCACATGCTGGTGGATGAGGTTTTTGTATGTGAGTATGGAGATAGTCAAGTGAATTACCTTCCTGAATGATGTGGAGCGATGAGGATCGAGATCGTGGAAGCTGCAAAGAAATGGAAGTACCAAAAAGAAGATGATTGAATGACTTACACGATTATGAAAGACGATCGGGCTTGGATATCGACCTTGGACTAAGACGATGGAGCAGGTTTGAACTTGTCCTGCAGACGAGGGATCTGCGATCCGGGATGATCTAGATAGCGCGGAGACCCAGGCCGATCGGGGACCGCTGGGGTGTGTCCTCCGAGATCGGGCGATCCGGGCGACATGTCGCGATCCGGAGACAGAAACATGGTGGGTCTTTCTGATGAGATCAGCGAGGCGAGTGGATGCGTCGGAGAGGCCATGAGACGGACTTGAGTGCTTGGAACGAAGTTGATGAGTGACTGTACTGAGGTCAATTGCTGTACAAAAGACTTCAGTACAGGGGGCGGTTGTGGCAAAGTCACTACTCAAATTTTGTACGAGGATCGGTGGCCACACCTTTAAAGCGCCGCTTACTGGTGGAAAAGGAGGCCATGAGACTCGGCGATCCAATACGGAGGTGGAAGATGATCTTAACGGGATCGGCGAACCGATCCAACTGTCGTTAGACTAATGGGTATGAATCGACCTGGGACGGAGCGATCTGGAACGATTTACATGGAACAATCTGGGACAAGGATCTGGGACCGGGTGATGGGATATGACTCTGCGACGAAGGTGTAACATCTTGCAGAATGTTATGGGGCGATCTGGAACCAGACGTCGGGATGAAGTCATACAGCTCATTGGAATGCCGGTCAAGAAGAAGTATACGTACATTGAAGCAGGCTAAGATTAGATCGCAGATCGACATGTTGTGGCAACGGTTTGTTGGAGAATTGACACATCTGGGACAAGGTGACTCCCCCAAAGTGCATCTGGGACCAGGTGGTACGGGTCGGTGAATCGGCAAAGAAGGTGCAACACCATACGGATCGGTGATACTCTACTGATCCTAAATTGGGAGTACTGATTTTGGTTAATTATACACCGATCTGGAAGTTTTGCATACTCAGAGGAGTCAAGGAAACCGATGTCGAGACGTATGAATGAAGTTGTCGATTGGATAACACTGGAGGATGATATTGAAGCACGTATGAGGAGATGAAAAAGTGTTAATTGCCGATTTAGACCGGATCGACCTCCAACATCTCGATATTGGATGACAGATCGGTCATTTTCCACACTGATCATGAATATATGTTTGATGAAGACACTGGATCATGTGGAATATACTTGGTAGAGGTCACTAAGTGATGTCAAGAAGTTTCATGCCGAAAGAGCCAGTGGAAGCTGTCCGAATTGACGTCGCAAAATGGATTTAGACGCCTTCGGCATTTGGGCACTATTTTGGGCTTTTGGGTACCAAAAATGGGTATTTGGTACCCCATTTGGGATTTGGTCCTCTTTTGGCGTTCAGGTACGGTATCGGGAATATTGGCGCTATCATTGGAGTACAGGGCACGAAATTTCGACACGTGGCAAGGGGGCGATCCAGATTCAAGGCGATATCGGTTTGAAGAGTGACCTATAGTTAAGAATAGGCTTAAGGGTAGGTTGGATAGTAATTTGGTTGGTTAATAAACAGACTTGAACTCTACTTCTTCTGCTCACGACGCACGTTATCCTCCCCTCTTCTCCAGGCAAGATTGATTTGGCTTCCCCGGCGGGTTAAGGCACGCGTGTTACAGGGACACAGAAGACCGATCTTGGATTGTTGGCCAAGATCGAGAAGAGCGATCCCGGGATATCTGGCCCGGATCGATCAAGTACTCACACTCAACTCAACTGCTAGGGTAGCAGCACACAACGGAAAAGGAAAAGGATTTTGGACACAGGATCGCGAGACGGCTCAAGTGGTCAGAAGATCTGGACAAGGCGTTCAAGACAAGACCGAGCAGGATCGAAGCGATCCCCTGGACAGATCGGCACGTTTCATTTTGGCGAAACAAGACACCGATCTACCCAAATTGCGCACTTCCGGCAAGATCGGCCGATCCCAAGACCAGATCGGACCGATCCCAAGGCAAGATCGACGCAGGACTTTTATTTGCTGAGTGAAGATTTCCGCACAGCAAAGACCCCGATCTCGAAGACAAATCAAGATCGGTGCGATCCAAGATCGGGATCGCAGAACCCCCGTTCGTGGTGTGAAGATTTCCGCACCGGAAGCGAACCCTCAACCCAACCTCTCAGCGAGATCGACATCTCCCAAGGCCGTTACGAAGAGCTCAAGCCAGCCCAACCGACGGGTACACAAGGTGAGCACAAGGTCATACAACAAGGCACGGATCGGAGTACCCCCTCCGTGAGTCGGCAAGTCTGGGCAAGTGGAAGATCGACACTCATACAAGCAATTTTGTGAGATCGACTTCACCACAATGGTGCGCGTGCCCGGATCTTCTGAGGCCTCTGGATTTCACCGTGAGTCCACTGGCGAAGATGTCAAGATTAAGCAAGAACCTGGGATTGAAGTGTCAGCGACAAAGGGATCGACGCAGACACGCAGAAGCACAAGATCCTCAGATCATCAGAGTTTTGGGAGGGGCTCTGATGAAATGAAAATGAAAGAGGAAGATCGAGAGATCGATCTGGAAGATAAACCTCAATTCCCTCCTAGGGTCCCTTCGGGGCCACCGCAGATCGCTCTGCAAAGAGCGATCTGCTGGATGAAAATCCAACGGTGAAAACCAAATCGGCGAAAGCCAAACCCTATATCTTAGTCGATAGATCGCCCGACCTCAAGCCGAAGAGCACAATCGCGAGATCGACCACATCAGAACGATCCGCGACGAGATCGATGGGATCAGATGTCAAAGATCGCCAGATCGGCCGAACCGTGCAATCGAAGATCGGAGCCAAAGAGGAATACGATGAAACACCAGATAAGATCGCGATGCCAAAGACGGAATATAACCCAATAAAGATCGCGTCCATGGAGAAGGAGACGACGGGTGAAGCGCGGGAGCGTGCAAAATGGCAGTACTATTATGGCCAGTTGAAGACGCTGCTCAAGACGGACCCAGTGTTCAAGATGTTAAGGCCCAAGGTGATTGGTCCTCTGGATAAGCCGATCTCGGTCCCACTTCACGGGACCAACAAAGTCGACGAGATCAATGTGATTTTGCAGATGTTGGACGACATGGGTATCTGCCCTGACGCTTTTGATGGAGATGAACTGCTGAGTTGCAGCTTGGAACAGTTGAAGGACGCGGCGAACGAGTTTGTAGAGATCATGATAATGCTGGTGGGCAAAGCGAATACTCCTGAAGACAAGATCGGGACGCCCTCGGGCTCGCTCTGTAAACACCCCGCGGGATCGCTCCCGCTACGCCTCGGATGACTCCGAGAGCGAGTCAGATGGATCCATCAGCATTCGTCAGATGTCTCTAGGACCATCGGGTGGAAGGTTCTTAAAGGACAAGATCGGACAAGCCAAGATCGACGCCTATAAGGGACAAGCCAAGAGCAACATGCCGCAGAGATCGGCCAGTACCCGCACTGGGCTGGAGGATCAAGAAGAGGGCGATCTAAGTCGGTACTTCAATTCAGCCATGAAGAAGTACGAGGCGGAGCAACGTACAGCTCAGCGAATGAATCGACAGCCAAACCGCTACCCAGATCGACGTACTTTGCTCCAACCTTCACACGAAAGCCTTGACATGCCGGATGTGGAGATGGAGTCGGTGGGGTCGGACATTTACCAACATATCCATGAGGCGGCGGAATACGACCCGGATGATCTATGGATGCCCGAACCACGGCGCCCTCATGTAGCCGCGACCGGTGCGACTACCGGAGGGGGAAACATCACGCAGAGGATCAGAATCTCAGCGATTTCTGAGCTGAAAGAATTCTCAGGGAAGGATCGGGAAGAAGACAAAGCACGGACCTGGATCGGCAAAGTGAAATCAGCGTTTATCCGGGACCAAGCACCGGACGAGGAGAGATGTCTGGTCTTCGGTGATCTCATGGTGGGCCCAGCCCGCTACTGGTACCGACAGCTGAGTAGATCGACGAGATTCAATTGGAAAGAATTGATGAACAGTTTTCTTGTGGAGTATGCGGGACACGGGATGTCCGCGAGCAGGCAATACTACCATGCAAAGAAACGATCGGAGGAAGATCCTTTACAGTACCTGTATCGGCTTAATGTGATGGGAATGCAGGCGAAGATACCGGTGATGACTGGATTGCCAGCTGCGCGCAAGGAACATGTCAATCATTTCATTGACACCTTGGACGACCCCGATCTGTCCAATCAATTGCTACTGCTGAATGTAGAAGACGCGGAGGCCATGCAAAAGACACTGCACGGATATCAACAAGGGAGATCGCGTCAAGGGAAAGTGATGATGGGATCGTCCAAATTCAGGCAGAAGGGAACTCAGGGTCCAGCGCTGTCTAAGCCTGCACGAGCGGTAAGGATGGTCCGTACCGAGGACGTCTGCAGCGAGTCAGGATCAGACACCTGCGGATCGGATTTGGAAGATCGATTGAGATCGATCCATGTGGCTGCTACTGCGGATCGCCGTTCATCCCCCAATGACGTTGCAGCAAACGCGAGATCGGTCGACCCGAACACTCGTCAAGACTATCAAGACCGCAATATGCCATTGAAGCCGTGTACTCATTGCGGATCGACCAAGCATGGAGATCTCGGTTGTTGGAAGCGGCTCACTTGCCAGAAGTGTGGGCGTAAAGGACACCCCTCTGACAATTGTTTTTTCGTGTGTCGTGCTTGCGGTGAGATGCACGACCCGGGGAAGTGTCCCATGGAGGAGTTCTACAACATGATCCGTCAGTGGTACGTCCCGAATAAGCATGCGGGGATGCTACCAGAGAAGGCCGAGAAGATGTTAAACTAGGACGCTCGCCAGGTTTGAATCTGGTACGAGCCGAGCGTTCTGGGCTCTGCATTATTGCATACGTGGAAAAAAAAGAAGACAGATCGCGAGAGTAAGCAGGATATTGACGTGGAAACAAATATATCTCGTTCGAAGTTAAAACGTGTCGCTTCCGTGTCCCATCTGAAGCGGATCGATGAGTACTCACGATCTGAACCAGCTATGGAGATCGAGCTCGCTTATGGTGAATCTCGCGGATACTGGAAACATTATTCACCCGGGAAGTGGTTCAAACAAGCGAAAGCCGTTGGCAAGATCAACAACGTAAAAGCTACTCTGTTATTTGATTCTGGTGCTGAAGTGTCGATCATTGACACCACCTTTGCTCGTGAGGTCGGTTGCAATATTGACGAAAGTCAACGACAAGAATGTATCGGGATTGGAGAAACTCCGTACATGACGGTAGGACGTACCAAGATCAAGGTGACCCTCGCGGGATCGCTGGTATACTATTTCAATGTATGGGTAGGCGATCTGGCAGGGCAAGAAGCGATTCTGGGTATGGATTTTATGGTGCCTGCTGGAGTGCGGCTCGATCTAGCGGATGGCGCGCTATGTCTACCAGAAGAAATCCGCATTCATCTCGCAGGACGTCGCCCCGCGTACGGATCGAAGATACAACATATAACGGCGAAGGACCAACACGTGGTGATCCCGGTCGGAGAGTCAAGGGAAGTGAAGATCGGGATCGGAGGGGCTAAGATGAAGTTGTGGGTCGCTAGAGGACTAGATTGGGTCCCCACTGTGATCTCGGGGTGGGGTAAGACGAAATACCTGCAGATGACCAACATTGGCGACCGGGAGATCATACTGCCCACCCACACTATATTAGGCATGTGGGTCGAAGGCGATATGGTACCGCGGACCCAAGGTTTGGTGACAGTCGGGTCGGGGAAGTACAAGGAATGGCAAACTCTGGCATATGAGGCTACAACGGATCGAGTGAACGAACTCCCGAAAGAACCGATCGGACCATTGGTAGATCGTCCTACGTATGCCGCTCCCAAACGCATCTTGAAACGTCCGTCTGATGCGTTACAGAACCTGTCTCCGGCGATCTCCACGGTAACGTCGCAAGCTAACGATGACGATTCGCAAAAGGCAGATGCTGTAGTTGCGAGGGAAGTAACGGTCAGGGGAGCCGAACTATCGCGGATGGAGAACGGTCATGAGATCGGTACCCAACATGCAACGAAGGGAGACCGCGACACCGGTCAAGAAGGGCTACGTGACAGATCGTCTCTACCGAAGGCTGAGCCGACTGACCGACTGTTGAAATTGGGCCAGCCGGAAGAGACGAAGGAGCCTAAAGAAGAAATAATGCTAAATACTGAAGACGTCGAGATTGCAGAAATACCAGTTTATCACCACGAGAGCGGAGATTTGTTTGCGGAAGATATCGAGCAGCATATGGCCGTGCTACCAGAGATGTCGGCGACTACGGAAGAAGTTACGATTGAGGACATTCAGATCGGTGATCCCGATGTGCCTCTCACCACAGATCAACAACGGCTCAGATCGCTGATCTGGAAGAGCCGTCACCTCCTCATGGGTAAAGGTAATGCTCTACCACCCGCAGCACGAGGCGCGATCTGTGATATTGATGTCGGTGGGGCAGCACCGATAGCGCAAAGAGTGCGTCCGGTCGCACCCAAATATCGGGAGAAGCTGTCAGATCTCATCAAAGGACTATTAGCAGCCAAAATCGTTCAGCCATCCACGTCACCTTGGGCGTCTCCGATAGTGGTGATCATCAAGAAGAACGGAGTGGATATTCGCCTTTGCATTGATTATCGAAGAGTTAACCAGCTGACGCGTCTGATGGTTTATCCCATGCCGTTGATCAGCGATCTGTTGGAAGATCTGGATAAAGCTCTATGGTACTGTTCGCTAGACATGGCTAGTGGATTTTGGGTCGTCGAAATGACCGAACGAGCAAAACTGATCTCAGCGTTTGTCACACCGTTTGGCTTGTTCGAGTGGCTGCGAATGCCTTTTGGGCTTAAGAACGCGCCCCAGATCTACCAACGTCTGGTGGACAATGCGTTGTATGGATATCTCAAGATCGGCCAGAGATCAGCTTCTGATGGCCCGATCGACGTGTTCAAAGATGGAGAACCTGAGACAGATCGACGACCGTCTATACTGGGACGCCGATCTTACATTGACGATATTCTCATACCAGCCGCGTCATGGGGATCTTTGTACACAAAAGTAGAACGGTTGCTGGAGGCATGTGATAAGTGGAATCTGTCTATCAGCCTCACGAAGAGTTTTTGGGGGTGCCGTAAGGTCGATTATTTGGGACATCGAGTGTCGATGGATGGTCTGGAGGCTCAGCCCAAGAACCTAGAGTCGTTGGTTAACATCCCGTTTCCTAGCACGCTACGAGCTATGCAATCCTTTCTCGGGAGCTTGAACTACTACCGTCGCTTCATTGAGGATTTCGCGGTGTATGCCGCGGTGTTGTATGAGTTAAGAGAATCGGATTTCTTCGAGATCGGCCGATCTCAGCTTGCAGCAGGAGACGAATGCTCCAACGAGGGTCGATGGACGGAAGCCAAGGTTGCTTTCACTATGCTAAAAGCTAAGATAGCTACAGCTCCCATGCTCAAGCATTTCGACCCAGATCGGTCCCCCGTAATCGTGGTCTACGCTAGCAAGTGGGCTGTCTCAGCGGCCCTGATACAGGAGTACGATGGCGTGTACCATCCGGTGACGTTTACTAGCCGCACTTTAAAGCCTAATGAGCTTAACTACGGAATGGTAGAAAAAGAAGTGCTGGCGCTACTTCGTGTGTTGGATGTATGCTATACTACGCTTGCCTCGCGGGAGATCACTGTACTGACCCGACATTCTACGTTAGCCTGGTTGATGCAGTCTCGAGGGCTCAACGGGAGATTAGGACGGTGGGCTGCTTTGTTGTCAAATTGGACTATGGAGGTGAAGAAATGTGAAAGAGGAGAGGAAGAAATCCTGGGCATGTTAGCAGCGAGTATCACTCCGAGAGGAGAGGTGGAAGAGATGCTGATTGCGATCTCCCCACGAAAAGACTGTCGACTCAAAATATCGATGCCTCCTCCAACGGTGGAAACAGATGAGGAGTTGCTGGTAGCCAGTTTCGATGGATCGGCTAGGATAAAAAAGAAAGGAGGGTCGTTCAGTGCCGTGATATGGAAGTTACCCGAATGGACGATCGTGGCGGCCGAATCGAGATATGTTCACGATCTGACTGTGAATGAAGCTGAGTATAATGGCTTGCTACTGTGCTTTGAGTTACTCGCCGGTCTGGATAGGGGGCGAGTAATACTGTGTGGAGATTCCAGTCTGGTGATTCGACAGATGCGCGGTGAGATCGACTGCAAGGCACCGGGCCTTCAGCTTCTGAGACACAAAGCGTTGGAGAAGCTGCAGTCATGGCCTAGTCACGAGTTTCTGCATATGAAGCGAGAGTGGAATCAGAGCGCAGATCGACTAGCCAGCACAGCATTGCAGAGCGAAAAGGGAAGAACGGTTGTAGCTGAAGAGGATCGGCAAGATCTGATGACTCTGAACCGTCTCGATGAATTGTTGAAGCCCAAGCAAGATGGTCAGCTAGCTCGGGTAACTGCGATCGCGAGATCAGCCAGGAGGATACGTCATGAACCTGAAGTGATACAGGAGGAGATAGTACAGAGGATCAGGATTCAACGAATTGTCCAAGCTCAAGATGAAGAGCGTTGGATTGTCAATCTCAAGACATATCTAAGTGGCGATGTATCAAACTTGGATGCGGTAGAAGTGAAGACGTGCGCCAAACTGGCGCCGGATTACGAGATCGATGAGAACAATCTGCTATTTTTTTGCCCCATGGCGAAAAGAGAGTCGGAAGATCGCGATGGTTTGATGCGGTTGGTGATCCCTGAGACGTTGCAGCAAGATTTTTGCATCATTATCACACGAGTCTGGAAGGAGGCCATCAGGGTATTGGCCGAACCTATCAGAGGATCAGATCGCGATTTCATTGGAGAGGACTGTATCGGAGCGTTCAACGATATGTGGGCGAATGTACCGACTGTGAGACCGGGAAAGGAAACCCGATGATTAATGGGAAATCCCCGGGCAATCTACACGCAACCTATCCATTCCAGATCATCGCCATGGATCATATACCGTCGTTGCCCAAGTCCATCAAGGGGAACACCGAACTGCTCATTTGGGTCGACCTTTTCTCGGGATATGTGATTGCAAAGGCTAGCTCCTCTCGGACGGCACAAACAATAGCGGAGAATTACGAAGAATGTGTGTTTCGACGCTTCGGAGCTAGCGAGGCTATCAGGCACGATCGAGAACCGGGATTTATGTCCGACTTCTTTCGAGCCTTCAGTCGGATCGTAGGACAAAAACAGCGTGCTACTATGGCTTACAGGCCACAAGCAAATGGAACAGCCGAACGAATGGTGCAAACCCTGACACATTCGCTCAAGATGTACGTGGCTGAAGTTGACCAGCGAGACTGGGATGAGTATGCTGAGCGGCTCACCTTTGCCATTAACACTGCACAAGATCGGATCCGGGGGATACCCCATTTTATCTGATTCATGGGTGGGACCCGCGATCGACTTTGGAGGCTACGCTACCAGTGGGGAATACGGGGACACGAGATCGCGATCCAAAGAGGTGGAGATACAAAATCCAAAGACAATACCTGCGAGCCCGATCTGCAGTGAACGATCGTTTACAAGCCGCGATCCAGGAGCGAGCGGATCGACACAACGAAGATCTGGAACCACACGAGATCGAAGTAGGAGCGCAAGTTTGGCTATACCTGGACCGAGTTAAAGAGGGATATGCGAAGAAGCTAGCGCACATGTGGCATGGGCCATTCCGAGTTGCGGACGTATGTGGAGATCATGCTGTAAAATTGGAGATCGCTGGAACCCCATATCGGTTATTTCCGATTGTACACATATCGAAGCTAAAAAGGTAAAGACGTTCCCTGAACGCCCGAAGGATCAGCTTACGATAGAGGAATCAGATCGCTTGGATTTCGATGAAGCTCTGCTGCCGGAAGACAGTTGGGATGGCGATCTTGAAGAAGGGGAATACGAAGTGGAGGCAATATTGGACGTGCGATCTGGTAGAAAAACCCGTTATGGGCGAGTACACCGGCAGTTTCTGGTGAAGTGGAAGGGATATCCCGATCTAAGTTGGGTGGACGAGGCCGATCTACGTTGTGGGGCGATCTTGCAAGAGTTTGAGCGGAACCGAGTGAGTCGAAACCGTTTCGACGTAATGCAGTCTCATGAAGGCAAGTCGGACGAACCTTAACAGTTCGAACAAGTATGCGGGAGGTAGCATATGCGGATGTAGGGGTTGAAAGATGTGCTAGACGGTAGCACATGCTGGTGGATGAGGTTTTTGTATGTGAGTATGGAGATAGTCAAGTGAATTACCTTCCTGAATGATGTGGAGCGAGGAGGATCGAGATCGTGGAAGTTGCAAAGAATGGAAGTACCAAAAAAAGAAGATGATTGAATGACTTACACGATTATGAAAGACGATCGGGCTTGGATATCGATCTTGGACTAAGACGATGGAGCAGGTTTGAACTTGTCCTGCAGACGAGGGATCTGCGATCCGGGATGATCCCAATAGGCGTTACGGAACTGGTTGCGCCAAGGATCCTCTTGGTCTGCCATGTCCAACGCCTCTAGCAAGTCAGCTGGGTCGTTAGAGTGTCCTAACCCTGGATACCAAACTCGGTCTTCATGTGGGCGCGGATAGTGGAGGAAGAAGGGATCTAGCAAGATGTCGAGATCACAGTGGCCAGCGATCATGCCGCTGAGTATCATCTTCAAGAAGTTCTTCCAACGCGCTCCAAAGCGAGAACGGCGTTGTTTTCGTTGGCGCCAGAATGTCTGCATGAACCGTTCAGATCGCCTTTGAGCCGGAGGAATCGGGAAAGCATGAGTAGATTCCCACAGAGCTTGTCGATGAGTGGACTCAAGCTCCAGGTACCGATGACCCATATCACGATACCATCCAGTCATGGTGAATGATATCGGGTTCACTGGGACTATGATATTATCCCAAGGGGCTAAAGCATAAAGAGCCTCGATGTGTTGCCGCGAGATCAGCCCAGAAGCCCAAGTCCCCGTAGGCGGAGCTCGTCCATGATTGTAGAAGGGAAACAGAAAATTCCTGGGTTTGGAGTAGTGGTGAAACAACAGCTCAATGGTCATGGTCCTCACGCAAACCATCGCGATCCGCGAAACGGACCATGGAGCGATCTCGGAAGCTACCCGTCGGGAGGGCGCCAGATAGTTGGGAATCCACCGATCCCGTGGTTGCTGGAGTGGCGGAAGATTGTCGAAGTCCACGGAAGAGAAAACTCTGTTAGCCACTTGGCGTGCCGGAAGGGTGATGCTGTTTTCGCTATCGGACGAATGGCGATCCGAAAGCGCAGTAGACTCCGGAGGCGGACTAACAGAGCCAGTCTCGCTGTGTGTCTCCCCTGTTGGCGATACCTCCACGTCTTCTACGCCGCCATCATCTTGAATTTCGACTACGGGGACAGCCGCGACCGGAGTGGATGGGTACGAAAGATAACGAGGCTCCGGAACGTCTGGAGAAGGCGAACGCAACAGTGCTTGAGCCAACGCAGTAGCTGCGGGAGAAGCGGGAACAACCCGAGCGGCCGGAGAGGGGTTCGGGGTCGAAGATCGGGCATCCGATCTAGGTTGACGACGAGAGGCCGATCTCGATTGGGATAATGCAGCACGAGTCAAATCATCCGAGCTAGAATCCGACTCGGTCAGCTCCTCACTTCCCGATCCAGTCCCAGAAGCCGCGGACGAAAGCGGAGAACAAGAAGAATTGGGTGGAGGCTCGGGTGGGGCCAATCCGGGAAGTTTGTTTAAAGGTATTGAAGGGTTCAACGACAATAGCCGGGAAGCCACACGGGCGGTGGAAGAATCACTGGATTGTGACCTTGGTTGAATACGCCGACGCTTGGCAGGCGGGCCGGACGATCTCGATCTGGACCTACGGGCAAGCGATCTCGATCCCGGGGTAGTGGGAGCAGGGGCCGATCCGACCGGAGTAGCACTCTTAGGCGTCGATCGAGCGATCAACGCAGACGACCGGGATCCGAGTATAGCACTGTTCAGTGTGTCGAGGAGAGCTCGGTGTTCAGCTATAGCCTGATCCCGATCATGCTCCACCACCTGCAACTGGTCGTATATCTCGAGGTGTTCCGCAAGCTGACGACGTAGGTTGGCGTTCTCCGCCTGCGAAAGTGCCAACTGACCCTCTAGGGGAGTCAAACCATCCACTTGTTGCATGAGATCGCTGATCGAAGACAGTCCATCTGCGATCTCCTCCTGAGACTGAGCCAATTGCTCCTTCAAGTGCAAAAAATCTATGTGAAGGAAGGATTTGTCCATGGTCAGCTGATCACGCTGCTGTCGGAGAGAGTTGAGTTCGGCTTGGAGCGAATGAAGCTGAGCCCTCAAAGCATCCACCTGTCGTTCCAAGTTCCCCTGAGCCTCGTCGTTGGCACATATCAAAGTGCGTAGCCGACGAATCTCCTCCGATTGATCTCGATATGTCCGCAGAGCTCGATGGCAATCACTCAAAGAATGCACTGCGTCGACGTAGCGGCCCTGCATCCAGTCATATCGAAGCTGGACGAAGGAGACAAAAGGAGCGGCTGATCTGTATAGCGAATCAAGCTCGTCTTGTAAGCGATCCCCCGGACGACGGCATCTCGGTAGGATTGCTGGAGCGCATGAATGGTGTCGGCTTGGCTGCAGAAGGTAGCCTCTCGATCCCACAAATACGAGATCGTGGCCATCGTGAGACGAACGTCGTCGGCAGAGACTCTGGGAACGAAGTCGGTGACGCCCACAGCTGGAGCAGACCTTTCACGAGATTCATTAGCGGCCGGGATGTCGGATCTGGACGCATCTGGGGCCGCCGGAGGAGTGGGAAGCGGGAATGGCTCGGAGGAACGATCTGATAATTCCGCGGCGGTCGAGAGTGATCCGACCGATCTGGGATTACTGAGAGACTCATGTTGATCTGGGACGATAGGAGCATACCACCCGCGATCTGGCGATCTAGATGGCGAGTCTCGGGATGGAGACGAGGGTCTGGTCGGCTGTCGATCTGGCGATCCTGTGGGGATTGTGGGCGATCCGGTTGGGCCTAGATGGCGCGGAGACCCAGGCCGATCGGGGACCGCTGGGGTGTGTCCTCCGAGATCGGGCGATCCGGGCGACAGGTCGCGATCCGGAGACAGAAACATGGTGGGTCCTTCTGATGAGATCAGCGAGGTGGGTGGATGCGTCGGAGAGGCCATGAGACGGACTTGAGTGCTTGGAACGAAGTTGATGAGTGACTGTACTGAGGTCAATTGCTGTACAAAAGACTTCAGTACAGGGGGCGGTTGTGGCAAAGTCACTACTCAAATTTTGTACGAGGATCGGTGGCCACACCTTTAAAGCGCCGCTTACTGGTGGAAAAGGAGGCCATGAGACTCGGCGATCCAATACGGAGGTGGAAGATGATCTTAACGGGATCGGCGAACCGGTCCAACTGTCGTTAGACTAATGGGTGTGAATCGACCTGGGACGGAGCGATCTGGAACGATTTACATGGAACAATCTGGGACAAGGATCTGGGACCGGGTGATGGGATATGACTCTGCGACGAAGGTGTAACATCTTGCAGAATGTTATGGGGCGATCTGGAACCAGACGTCGGGATGAAGTCATACAGCTCATTGGAATGCCGGTCAAGAAGAAGTATACGTACATTGAAGCAGGCTAAGATCAGATCGCAGATCGGCATGTTGTGGCAACGGTTTGTTGGAGAATTGACACATCTGGGAAAAGATGACTCCCCAAAGTGCATCTGGGACCAGGTGGTATAGGTCGGTGAATCGGCAAAGAAGGTGCAACACCATACGGATCGGTGATACTCTACTGATCCTAAATTGGGAGTACTGATTTTGGTTAATTATACACCGATCTGGAAGTTTTGCATACTCAGAAGAGTCAAGGAAACCGATGTCGAGACGTATGAATGAAGTTGTCGAT